TTTTTCCGTTAAAAGCTTCTAAACCGTTAACTCATAAGACTTTGGCCACACCCAAAAAGATATGAGAAGCAATAAGAATCTTGGTTTGTGTTTTTGGAGTCATATATGACTAGATCTCGTGTTTATGATTGGGTATAAGAACTAGAACCGCAATCGGATCCCAAAAGCTAAAGTAGTGTTTTTCTGTTTAGAAGCTCCAAAACCGAAAACTCATAGGACTTTGGCCACACCCACAAAGATTTTAGAAGCAATAAGAAGATTGGTTAGTGTTTTTGGAGTCAAATATGACTAGATCTCGTGTTTAAGATTGGGTATGAGAACTAGAACCGCAACCGGATCCCGTAAACTAAAGTAGTGTTTTTCCGTTTAGAAGCTCCAAAACCAAAAACTCATAAGACTTCGGCCGCACCCACAAAGATTTGAGAAGCAATAAGAAGTTTGGTTAGTGTTTTTGGAATAAAATATGACTAGATCTCGTGTTTATGATTGGGTATAAGAACTAGAACCGCAACCGGATTTTAAAAGCTAAAGTAGTGTTTTTCCGTGTAGAAGCTCCAAAATCGAAAACTCATAGGACTGTGGCCACACCCACAAAGATTTTAGAAGCAATAAGAAGCTTGGTTAGTGTTTTTGGACTCAAATATGACTAGATCTCGTGTTTATGATTGGGTATTATTGAATGAAGTGAAGAAAAGGAAGAACCGGGTAACTTGTCTTCCAATCGGTTACTACGATCGGTTGCATAACCAATCGTGTCAGCTAGAGATTTGCCGCTCGGTTGTGACAATCGGTTGCACAACCAATCAAAGCCTTGTTTCACTATCGATCGGTTACGCTAATCGGTTGCACAATCAATTTAAGACTCTCGCCAGTACGGCCTACTTTTGGTCCGTCCGTACCATTGAAGATTTGTCTCGGCCCACGACTTTTTCTCTCGGCCATTTAGCCTTGGATCCTCTCCAAGACGCTTCTAGAAGCCTCCGGATCCTTCCCGAGCCTTCTTGTAGCCGTTGCACATTCAAATGGAGGAAGAAGACAAGACTTACTTTTGACCATTTGACCGTTGCTTTATGGCTCCTTAAAGTAGCATATTCTCTAGCATATCTTTTGGATATTCCTTTGGATATTCCTTTTGTATAGCCCTTTAAAGGGAACCTTTGTATTTTGCCATTTCAAGTAAGAAGAGATAATCTCTCTCTTTCTCATCTTCAAATCTCTTTCTCTCTAATCTCTCAAATCTCCATTTCCGCAACCTAATCTCTCACTCTTAGTCCCATTCTCGCAAACCTAATCTCCACATTCTTACATGGTATCAGAGCCATAAAGCTCCACATACTCTATTCTCCAAAACTCTCCTTGCAAATCTTCTTCTTCTTCTCCAATCTTCATTCTCTTTTTGATTCAGTCTTTGCTCACCATGGAGAACACCA